GTCCTTGCTGGGGAAGTCCACAGCCATCCTCAGTGACCAAAACTGGGTGATCTTCCTACCACAGCCTCCAGACAAGACTGCTACAGTCTTTTCCTCAGAATATTATTGTCTCTAAAGGTGAAACGACCTGACACAGCTATTTGGATATGATTTAGCTTTTCTGGAATAACCACCTCTGCAAATGCTCTATACATCCCCCTTCCAAAAAACCACTTTTCTTTCAGAAGTCTCCACAATGGAATTAATCCAGAACAGCAATTTCCCCACTTGAAGATAAGGTTTTTGGGAAATTCCATCTTTCCACTCTGCATTTATTTCTCAAGCTGTAAACCATTCCTCTGCCCCTGATGCCCCTTTAAAAAAAATTAGCATATATTATCTCCAACTTTTCTATAAATATTAACAATAAGAAACGAGCCCTTTCTTGACTAGATTTGAGGGAAGTTCATACAGCTGTAACATTTTACAAAGACATTTTACCTGCAAACAAAATAGTCACGTGAAGCTGCACTCCAGATATCTAAACCAATCTGATCTAGTTGCATGCCAAAACCAGGAAGGGAAACTGAGAAAAGAGCTCATAGGAGTTAAAAATCAGATTTTTTGAGGCATCAATACTAGGGAAAAAGCTCCACTTGAATAGCGTGAATGGAATAAAGACAAGTTACTGTTATTTGATGACTCTGCATTCAAAAAATCACATGGGACAAATAAAAAACATAGCTTGAAAACCTTGCAACTCAGATTTCTCCAATTTATTTCACATGTGTGTATGTGTACATACTGAATAATCACTCTGTAGCTGTAAGTGACACTGCAAATACATTGCTCAGATAACGTTATGTGGGGGAACCCATAACATTTCTATCAGTATTTTCAGGAGAAAAATATCTCAATTTAAGTAAAAATACAGCATTAAAGACAACTTCAGATGGGAGAGACCATGAAACTCAACCTAATGGGGACATGCACAACTATTTAAAACCTGTAACTAAAAGGAAGGCCCAGATACAATTTTGTCTCCATGTCAGACTGCGTGATATACAAGCACCAGCTCTTTCTGTTGAACTAGAACGGAGTCTTCAAGTCAGCGACCACTTGACTGTCAGTAAAGGCAGTGAACATGTTTACATCTGTTTCTTGAGGACAGCCAGAAGGGTTGCTCTTCTCCTTTGCTGACACATGTTCCACCCCTCTGAGTTATTTTCTTCTGATCTCGCCCATCCCCAGTAAGAGATGCTAACTCTGATTTAACATCGAGCTGAAGCAGATCTGTTGCCTGCAGGTAACACATGGGGAGCTTTTTCCATCCTTGAATAAAACGATGTGGAAGGACTTAAACCAAGACATCTCTCCCCAAGCTTGCAAGGCTTCACAAGCCTTCTTCATAAGCTATCCAAAACACATGTGTTGAGCCAAGAGATTTTAAAGATCTACTGCTGGTTAATCAGGCTTCACTTCTTACCTGGAGTGCTGCAAACCTCCTTGCTTTCTAAACAGCCACCAAGACTGCCATGAAAAGGGCACAGAAGAGACTTGAAATTCAGATACTCTACCCTCACACAGAGAGCATCCTCCAGGTTTGCCCCATCCCCTTCCTCCCCCCTTGCAGGTTACCTCCAGCACAAAGCTCTGGGCAGAGGGTTGCGATCAGGTGCTACTTAGGGTGTCCTTTCCCCTTTTCCTGGGGCTGGTCCAAGCCACATCCCCAGGTGCCACTAACAGGTGGCTTTGCCCGTCTGCTTGGCACAGCGCTGCCGGACGAGCGGGGAGCTCAGCGGAGCGGAGCAGGCGACGCACGGGGAGCCGAGAGACACTCGCAACACTTACAGTTTATGTCAAGGCCCTCGGCCCCCAAGGGACCCATTTTCACATAATCTATAATTATCTCTTCGCTTTAATCGCCTCGTCACTTCTGAGGCTCTCCTGGGCACAGGAAGAGGAAAAGCTCATTAACTGAACCTTTTCTCCTCTCTCCAGCCACCCATAGCTTTTAATTGCTTGGTGTTGTTATTATCTATCAGTGCAACTGGGATCATTTTCATAAGAAAGGGTGGTGGGAGGGAGGGAGGCAGGAGCGGGTCCCTGAGGTATGCACCACAGACAAACCTTTGCTTTCTCAATTATTTATGCCAGCTGAGGTTTTACAAGCTGAATAAATCCATAACTCAAGTTTATTTTGAACCGGCAGGCTGTCCCAGGGGAAGTGTTGCCCACTTGCCGGCACACACGCGTGCCATCCTCTGAGAGCAGCCGGGACATAGCGAGACATGTGTCATCCAATTCCCCATCGGTTGCTGCTCTGCCACACGTACTTTGGTAGATTAGTGGCAGCACCGGAGAGGAGGTGGCTGTGAAAACCCCAAATAGGAGCCAGCACAGAAGGATGCCCTCTCCTGAAGGGATGGCAGGGCTGAGCCAAGCCGCCTCTTTCCACAACAAAGCAAAACCCCAAGGGTCACCGCTCCTGGGACAATAAAAAGGAAGGGAAGCAATAAACTTGGCAATCATCTTGAAGTCAGGGACTTGCTTGCTAAATATCACTAGAAGAGTATCCATTTCTAAATAACACTGACCTGAAAAAAACCAAACAAACCCAAAACAACCCACCAACACAAACCCCAGCTGCCCGGACCCGCAGGTGTTTTATTTGAGACGCGCCACGGCTGAGCACGCTGCAGGCTGCCTGGGCTCCGAACAACCGGGAAAGCTCTTCCGCAGGGACTGCACAGCCCAGCATCTGTGTGAGCCACAGACATCTGCGCCGCAGCCACCCAAGCACAGGCACAATACCAGCACGAGCCCGTAATTCCCAGCACACGGTAACGATGCCAGCTCCTGCATCTCCGCAGCTTTGCGCTCATTTCCAGTGCTGACCTTCCCAAAAAGTGAGAGAACAAAACCCTAAAAGTGCTCCGGAGTGCTGGGATCATCTCAAAAGCCCTCTCTGCTCCAAAGCTGCATCCTTGCAATGGATGCTGGAAGCAGCTCTTTAAAAGTCAGCAGCCTTTGTGCCTGACCACACGCAGCGACCTCTGGTATTTTCTGCCAAAACAGTTCATTTGTCTCGCACAACAACTAATCAATTCCCGAGGCCATCCATCACGGGAGCTCGCGCGAGCCGGCCCGGCAGCGGGGCCAGATGGCAGCTGCGTTAGTGGGATTAATACAATTCTGATAGATTACACGGCATCAGGTGGGCTCCTGAATATGAGGGGTGCCCGCTCCGTGTCCCGGTCCTAAACAGAGCCCCACTCACAACCGGAGTCACTCCCAAGTGTTACAGGAAAGGGTGGAAGTTTCTACCAGAAAAGAGTTTCTTCAGCATCCCTCAGGATGGTAGAAGTGGGAAGGTTGGTAGCTCAGGGATGCCTTGGTGCTGACCAGTGGATGCCATTCCCATCCTGGCATGCCGAGGCCGCGTGGAAGCAGCCCACGGCAGAGCGCAGGAGGGCTCCTGTAGTGCAAGGGGAAAGGGACACGGACATTTGGCAACACTATTTCACATTCTCCATCTGCCAAGTCAATGCTTTGGTTTGCTGGAAAGACTTATAAACTGCCTCCCCCTTCCTTACCCCTGCTTTAAAAAAAACCCAAATATTGAAAAATAAGTTTAAAGTTGAATTTCCAATGCTACAGTATTTTTGGCATCTCCCTCAGTATGAGTCTTAGATTAGATTTATGTTGGTGACACATCAGTCAACCTCATCTCACTGCTCATTTTCCAGGTTTGTGAAACTGTAATTATAGCTATTTGATCATGAAAGAGCTCAGCTACTACTGCTTTTGTTCTGGTAATAAGATCAGAAAAGAGACATAAAGCTTTATGTAGGAGTAAAAAAAAAACCCAAACAAACCCAAAACCCCACCACTATCCCCCAGCCTGGAATCACAGATAATTTCTAAATCCTTCCTTCCAGGGGAACCTCCAAGTCCCACCATCAGTCACCAGCAGGCATTATTTTTATGTAATGCCCAAAGCAAGAGAAGTGATTTGCAGAGAAACACAGAGGCAGAGCACTATGCTAATACATTTTGCAACTGCTCCCCATTAGTCACTGGGGGGTTACTTGAGCTCTTTATTGCCAGGGTTTATTAATGACTCCTAATTGATGATCAGTGCCCAGCACCCCAAAGTAAATAACTGCTACGCCTCATTAGCTCAAGAGACCTTCTCCTGATTTGAGGATTGATCTATGAACACACAAATTGCACTGATTTAACTGAATCTCTTTCTAAATTGATTTAATTAGACCGGTATAACCTGTTTCTATGGATGCTCTTGAATTTATTTGGAATCAGTGCAATGTACTTCTGCGAGCCAGACTGACCATTTTTCTATCTTGTTCTCAAAGCAGAAACATTTGAGATAATTAGTGATAAGGCAAAAATCAGCCCTGGCACCATCCCAGGTTCTCCTACTTCTGATACACCCGACTTTAGGGCAGGGTATGGTAATTCCACTTTGTCCAACAGATTTGCACCCTAAGCCCCAAGCATTTCCCAGGTGAGTGGTATCGCTACCAAACCAATTCACTCCATGCTCCAGATAAACTGGAATGTCAGACAATGTCCAGAGCCATCCTTCTTTGGCTCATCAGCTTGCAGATTTCATAGCAGTGCAATTTTGCTGTTTAGGGCTATGCTTTTACTATTAGAATTATCACCATTAGAGATGTGCCTATACCTACCTACATTTATTCCCTGTTCTAGTAAGAGCACAAACAATAGACAAAAGCTGCAATACATGGGCAACTGCACTGGGAAAGCTGAAGCTAGGTGAGATATGACACTTGCTCACTTCCCATCTTGCAACTGAAGACACTGATGTAGGCAAGCCAAGCTGTGCTCATGGACCACGAGTTTCCATTCTGCCAGCAGAGTCAGGAGACTTCATTTAACTCACTTTCAGCAGAATTCCAGCTGTGTCAGAGACCACATCTGCTTACAGCCTGACTTTGTAAGGACTACAGCCACTACACATACAGCATATATGCTCCTCATGGTATGTTTATTTGGAGCCGTACTTATATTAAGTACTGCACAAGTCATGTTCTCATGGAAACAAAAACAAAAATATGACAAGAAGATCTAGACTAGTCAAGCCACCAGAGCAAAAACTCTGTTTTCCTGTGTACTGTGGTATATTTCATACCCAAGAAGGAGCACAGGCAGTACTTGGGACAGCCAAGACTCTGAAAGCACTGCACGACTAAGCATAGATCATACTTAGCACCCAACACTGGGCAGCATTGATGTGTTCCACTCCTAAAAGAAGAGCTCTAACAGGATTTAAACCTCAAGGTCAAAGTATGAGATCAAGAATGTTGGCTGAGTCCTACATGGACAGAGCAGGGAAGAAAAAAGAGCTTGTGGCTAGCAGAAGTGCTAGTCCTCAAACAGCATGTTAAACCAAGGTCATACCTGACCACCTCCGGTCAGGGTCTGGAGGCAAGTTAAAGATGTGTTGGCTCTTCACATGAGGCAGAGAAGGCTACTCCTGGCCAACTGTTCTATCTCACTATAAAGCAAATTGCAACACTGAGGGAAGTGTCCACTCTACTGCCGAGCATGAGACTGGCACCCTGTTTGCTTACACAGAACAGCCACATCAATTTCTACCTAAGCTTCTTGCAAAGGGTTTGGAGCCACCTGCTCAAGATTTATTTTTCATTAGTTGGTGACAACAAGTCAAAGAAACACTGTTAAGAGTTTTAACACTTCGGGAAAGTTCTCAGCAAGCTTGGGAGGCTGTGTGTAGAGGAATCAGTGTTTACCTTTTAATTTTCTGGGGCTAAGATGATGCAAGACATTCAATAAAACAAATGGGATCACATACACATAAATGGGTGACTGCAACATGACAGCAAGCACAGCTCAAAAATTTAGTCTTCCCCGACTGTTCATTTTAACTAAAAATACAATGCTGTATTCTGAAAGATCCTCCAGGCAATCATTTAGGTATTGGAGTTAATATCATACCCATGATTAGTAGTCTGGAACAGTAAAAACCCAACCAAACAAAAAAAACCCCAGCTGTCCTTATTCAGTAGCTTATGTCACTTACTACTTGCACCTTGACAGGTTTTAAATAGCAGCCATTCTAGTTCAGTAAATACATTTCTGCTATGCTAGCTGCAGAAAAAATTAATTTGATATAAGGTACAAACTCTCCCTGAAGGCAAACATTGTCCAACATTAAAACCTTCACTGAACAATCCTTAATGAATGTATTGGTAAAGAAATAACTATTTGAAAAAGGTAGTGTCTGAAGAGCTTTCTATTAAAAATATCCAATATTACTTTTTTTCAGCCATATAACTGAAAAATGGCAAGTCTTGCCCTTCCCCCACATCTTGTGCTAGGGAAAGGTTACTACCTGGCAATGATACAGGCAGTTATTGATTTAAATGATTATGGACCTGAAAAGTTCTTTCCTGTCATTTATTATCCTGTTGTAGTTGCCACCACACTTGTGCAATATTAAAAAAAAAAGCTTAACAAAATGACATTAGAAAAATACTGTTTTAAACTGAAGTCCAGCACAGATAATCACCTGATTGTTTCTTCTTGATATAATGAGCTGACAACTGGGCCTCCAAATGCAGTTTTGCCTTCCTTTCCCCTCTTCTCTGTTGTCTGAAAGAAAAAGAAAGATTGATCCAGCATCATGACTCCCATCTTGTTCCACCCCTCTGCCACCTCCCACCCCTTCCCTGCCCCAAAGATGGGATCAGCCCTCCGAAAGTCTCAGAATCACAGAATGTTGGGGATTGGAAGGGACCTCAAAAGATCATCCAGTCCAACCCCTCTGCCAGAGCAGGAACCTAAATGAGATCACACAGGAAGGCGTCCAGGCGGGTCTTGAATGTCTCCAGAGAAGGAGACTCCACAACCTCCCTGGGCAGCCTGTTCCATCTTCACAGCAGATGGAACCCCATGACGCTACTCCATCCAGAACAGCTGGATGGATCTCTCAGCAAACCAGATCAATGCTCCTCTGAAGGTGGCCCAGAAGGGTCACCCAAAAGGCAGGCATGGCAGCCTCACCATCCCGCTCACGAGCCAAAGCGTTGCCCCCACAGCACTCCCAGCCGTGGCCCCTTAGGACCCAAAAGCCGAGCCTCTGTGAGGTAGCATAATGTTATGTTACTAGATTGCAAAGCTTGCCTTTATAAATCTATTTAATATAGATTTAAAATTAAATTTTATAATGGGCAGCATTTCCAAATGATTTACTCCCAGCAACTCTAGGATTCTGAATGATTCCCACCATAATAGAAATGAACAATTAGAATAATGATTGATCGATACGGAGCCTCAGGCCTCCCTTTTCAAAAAAATAACCCATCCTGCAGCTTGGGTTCTTCAATTGCCTGACTTGACATTGATGCCAGACTTTCAGAAAGCGGTAAGTGCCTGCTGTCTGAAAGCCTGACCCTATTTTAGGGGGTGCAGGGCACCAGAAACCCTAAATCTTCTAGGGCACCCTAATATCTCAGTCTTTGGGCAAGAAGTCAAACCTGGTTTGCAATTTGCAGTGGTAATTCCTTATAAAACCAGCCCATTAATTGCAACGTGCTGTTGTCAGTGGACAGTTCTGTGGATTTCTGTGATAAGAGATTATGAAACCCAGAGTGAACAAAATCAGAAGTGAAGGGAAAGCCATCCCAACCTCTAGCAGTCTCTCAGTAGCTCCAATACATTGCTGATTACACCAAAAAGCTTTGCTGCCTCATTAGAATTCTACCTAGAAAGATGATGATTTTTATTTTTAATAAAACATTCTTAAATTTATTTGTTTTTTTTTCCTGCTCCCTAAGTTGCTTTTATTTTAAATCAATTTACTGTTTCCCCAGAATACATTTACTTTTACATTCTGCATAGTTTGAGCCAACCAGTTCCACTTTTCAGCTCTTCTGTACCAGCCCAAAGCTGTAATATTTGGGTTTGCAGATATCACAGACATACTCCTCTAAGAAAAAATGGAAAGGAAATTGGCTTTTGAAAACTATTCCATGGCAAATAGGCTTTCTCTAATTTTGAATAAAAGATGACAGAGTTCTCCTTTCCTTAAAGGAAAGGGCTTCAAAGTCTTTACAGTGCAATGTCCCTATTAAAAAATTATTTAATAGAGAGCCTGACTGTCCATCAATTATTTCCACAATACTTAAAGAAAATTAATTTCAGATCATCTGCTAGTAGATGCAAGAATTATTTCTATGAAATTAAGCTATACTCACAACTAGTCTATCTTCTTTGATATTGAGGAACATTGGTCATTCAACCAGTATCGGAAACTACAAAAAATTTTAATCTATATTCTTTCATCTCTTCCCACTACAGTTTCTGGTTGTGGCTTTTTTTTCAAAGTCAGAAACAACACTTGAGAAAATACATTTCATCTTTCTAGAGGAAGAAATTGTAAAAAAGGTTTCTTGGATTAAGTGCACCTTCTTTGCACAACCAACGCATTTCTACCAGAGATTAATCATCCTGATTGAGGACACATAAGGTCATCGTGAAACTCGGCGATAAAGGCTTTCCCAAAAACGCTCAGGCAAAAACTTCCCCGGCTCTTAATCCACATACAGGTTACTTTGTTCAAGCAGCTTTTATTTCATCTCTTTCACACAGAAATAGGTAACTCAATATTCAATTTATGAATGTTGAACCAAGCTTACTTCATCACAGTCCTCAATATGTAGCACAAGTTTATGAAAAATGTATAGGAAAAGTCCCCAGCTATGCTCTCAGGATTTAATGTGTGCCTCCACTCTGCAGAGCCATGAAAGACAGCATCGTGGCTCCACATCCATCACCACTGGACTTCCCAAGGGGAATCTATCCAAGCTATGAGGAACTCTTCTTCCCAAAAAACTGAACTCTGCCTCGATGTGGATACAAAGTGGTTTATTTCCAGCCACCCTTGACAACTTGCCGATACCATGAGCTCATCTGCCCGCTTCCAATGCCTGTACTACCCAGCCTGCCAGGGACTGGCACACGATATCTGAGCACGATGTACCAAACCAAGTGGTGAAAGAGGTGGAAGAAAGAAGTTGTTCCTTCCAAACCACGTCACAGCTATTGCACTAACAGGAACCAGTGTTTTTATCTGTTGCTCACACGAGCTGATGAGATGAGTAACACGCAGATGCACTTTCCTTCTCAAATCTCTTGCTATTTCTACAGCAGAAAAGAGCTTTTAGGGATGGAAAGATAAAGGACGTGCTACCTATACACAAATAATGACCACTGAGTTTAAAGTCACATTAGCTTGCAAACTGTGATGGAATTAAAAACTGACACTGCACATTCCTTCTCTCCTCTTTAAAAAAAGGCACTAATAATTAACTACGTGGCTCTCATTTAAGCCAGCTCAATTTCTTTCACTGCTGGCAGTGCTGTCCAAAAGCACTGCAGATACACGTGTAACTAATGATAGTTAAGAAATAACATGATCCCCAGCTCCCATAATTTGCAACCTGAATCTGAGAGAGATGACAGCAGTGTTTTCCGCAGTCAGGACCATCTAAGAGATGCTGCGGAAAAGGCAAAATTACTGTGGGCTCCATGGGCGTGAGGGGGCTGCCCTCAAACTGCCAGTTCAAAACCTGTGGGAATAAAGGGGAATTTGTTCCCCTTTCTGGGGGGAACACGGGAAGAAACCTTGAAGGACTGTACTTGAGTGACAAAGCACAGGCAGTAGCACACAACAGACCCGTGAAGAGGTGATAAAGAAAGGTAAGAGATGCCCTTAAGAGGCACTGATTTTTTTTGTTTTCTCCTAACTCTTGCCCATTGCTTATTTGTTGTTCATGCACAACCAAGGCTGATATCAAAGTCACTATTACTCTTGACAGTTAACTTTGGAGGTGGATCTGGTTTACCAAAGCTAGCATAAATCATGGACAAATATGTTCTTCAGTATGCAGCATACGTACTCATTAAGAGACGTTTTCAACGCCCCTGACTCCCGATGTGCTCACGGACTGGTGCAGGAACTCCACTAAGCCCAGAACTATCCTTCTCAAATGTCACCAGGAATGAACCGGGAATGCCAGGGGAAAAGCCCCACTCCTCCTGGAACAGACAGCAGAGCATCCTCATCCCTGCCTCAGCGCACTGTATTTGTCAATAAAAGACTGGCTCGATTCAAGGTACAATCGCATCTCGACTGGCTGTCACTGACAATGCTGCTCCAGACGGCCTCAAAGCCTGACAGCCACTTTCTGAACAAAATGGAAATACAGGGACTAATATTTGCTAACATCATTAATTCATTTTTTTTTGGTCCACTCCCCCTTCTTCTTTTATCCACCATGTCAAGATGTATACCTTTAAATTGTTGTCAGCCATAAAACAGACGTCGTGTCCCAGTTCAGAGGTTAACATATAATGACAGACACATTAAAAAACCCTGTCCAATGCCTCACTGACAATTTCAGCTCCATCTTCTCTTCAACGAGACAGTAGCTCAAACTCACTTACAAGCTTTAACCACATTAAAGTCTAATCACAATTGAAAAATAAAGGAGAAAGAGAAGATAGTTTTATCATAGTAAGCACTATGGAAAGGGAAAACAATTAGAGACAAACATTTTCTTTGTGAGGGTTTTGAGTGCAGCTTCTATTTCAGTCTTAAAAGTCTCCCATGATCACAGCATGACCCATTTATCTTCCTGCATTTTTGGAGAACAGGATGAAAATTATCATCTGAGAAGAAGACTGGTAGTTCCCAGTTGGGAGTTGGTTTGGTGGGCCAACCTCTTGCTATATCCCTAAAGACAGGACAAGGATTTATTATTTTTCATCTTGGAGCCCAAGATTTGTTCAAATCTCCACGAAATGGGCTACATCAGATTGAACAAGATGAAGATTGAACAAGGGCTCTTCCACACTTCAAACTCATGTGCCTGAACTCATAGAGATGCAAGTGAACTTATCATTGGTGATTAGCTGGGACTGAAGTGGACTGAATGGTTCACAGCTATTTTATACACAGGGCAAGAGACTCGTCAATCTGACAGAAGGAAAGGTACAGTGAAGTCCTACAAAGTCACTACAAAACAGCAGGAACACCACAATTTTCAATATTTTTTTAATTTTTTTTTTTTTTTAAATGCCACAATTTGGAGCTAACAGAAGACCTAGATCTTAGGCATGGGTTAAATGTAGGGCATCCCAGTTTTATCCAGAGCAGAATAAGAAGTCTGCCTGGCTAGTTTTGCATGTCTAGACACCCAGCACACACAGCAGCAAGAGCTGTTTGGCAAGACACATGGCTGTGTTGCACAGCACATCTATCACCCTCCAATTCCCTCACATCTCACTCTGGCTTTTCTCCACACCCAAAACCTTTAAGTAGCTTCACATGAATATATATTTAAGAAAGAGAAAGCCATTAGCAAAAAGGTTCATCTCATCAAAATACTTATCTTTGAAGTTACACTGGCTAATGACTTACAACGGTCAAGACTTAAATTCTTCATCATCATGTATCTTGGAAACAGAAAAGTGAGACAAATGAGAGCTATGCATCAGGATCTCACATCCCAGCCACCGCAGCGCATGGAAGAAGTTATCTCAGGTTATGTTCAAAGGCTGCTTAGTGGATTATTTTTCTCTTCCTCCGA